GCTTTGGCCACCTAGTGTGGTATCGTTGCTTCTTGACGGCATAGACTGTACGCCTGGGAAAGAGGAATACTGAAGTTCAAGCTCCCTTGCACTCTGTGCTGTCTGTGCCAATAGAGTGTTTGGAATTGAGTTTGTATACCCTTGCTGAAACCAAATTGTTGAAACCAATGATGTATCATTAGCATCATACAAAACTACACAACTGAAACTACCTTTTCGATAAAATTTTAAACAGCGATCCATATTAATAGATCTTTATAATATAAAAGGAGGTTCTCTTAACCTTGGACACTTAGGAAAGAGCTTACCATCACATTTGTTAATGAAGCAAGATGCTGCATCTGTTTAGTCATGCTTGTCTGTGAGGCATCAAATGCATTATCCAGCTGCTGCTTGGTATTTTCATATGCATAATCTGGATCCGACTGAGCAAACGAGTAATGGTTCTCCTGATGAGTGGTTTCAGGGTTTTCTGGCAACAAAACCTCTCGCTGAGATTCTGAAGAATCATCATAATTGTCAGCAGTAGACGCATGGACCATATGCCCATTGGACATGCTTCCTAGATGTTCATCTCCATAGAACTCCGAATTTCTGTGGACAAGACGATCAATTAATGGTGAGTATAAAGGAAACGAGCCCAGAAACTATTTGGAAAAGAAAAATCAGCAATGAGGGCATACCTAGCATCAGTACGTTCAATCTGTGGAGCTACATCAGAAGCCTCTTCTAAGCTGTTGCTCAAAGGCCTTGATCCAAAGCCTCCAAAACTTCCAAAGCTTAACTGCAAGCACTCTTCTGTATGAATTTGCAGATGGTCTGGAATCACAACAGCAGGTCTATCATCATCATGAGAGGAGTATTGATCATGGTTCTCTATGCTCAAGTCTTGAAGGTTGGCAGCAACAGACAAAACTTCGTCTTCATCTGCAAAAGAATATTGACCGAGTATATAAGACAACATCAAGAGCAAACAAAATATATAGTCTAGTCAACCTTAATATTAAAATCTGAAACCAAAGACCAGACAAGATACTTTCACTAACCCCCGGCATCTAATATGATCAAGTTGCAGAGACAAATTCTTACCTTTCGGGTGCTCAACAGGGATTTTCTGTGTTTGGTATCTGTAAGGATTATCATCATACTCAGATGACACTCCAGAGTCATCTTCCTGAACAGCTCCACCAGCTACAGTGTCAGGCTGCACATGATCTCTTCCAAGATTCCCAAAGGGACCATTTTCTTTTAAATGTGAGTCTTCCAACTGGCCCTTCGGATGTTGATCTCTTCTACTGGATTGGAAATCTGCTGGACTATTGCATATCTCTGACTCAGTTGGTGCTACTGACACAGAAGAAGTGCTAGCAGCCAGTGGCTTCTCAATTGAGGGCCATTCATCTTTCACAGGTACATGTTGATTTGCAGCATTTTCATGCTCGTGATTTACCTCAGAACGCATATCGACTTTTTTCTGAGAGTTTGTTGTCTTGTTATGAGGTCTACCCATCTTTACAATGTCAGCCATAGACAGCTGACCTGAAGCTCCAAACCATGCAGTTTGATGTCCAGTAACAGAATGTGATGATGATATTTCACCACCCGAGGTAACAATTGGCGTTTTACTTTCTTTAGCAACAGAATCACTGCAAAATATATATATATATAGAATACATGAGCAACCTGAGACTCGAATGTACAGATGCACAAAACTATAATTATCAAAGATGCAAAAGTAGGAAAACTACATTAAGGAAAAGTGGAATATGGCACAGCAAAGTAAGGTCTTGACACCTTTCACTAGAGGTGCAAGATTTTTTCATAAGAACTCTATATACAAGTACATACATTTTCACTTTGCTAAAAACTTTCACTTTTTCTACCAAATCAAACATCAACTGTACATGGAAGATAGCTTAGCATCAGCATAATACTTTTAAACATTATCAAAAGGTAGTATTCAAGACTCCAGATGATAAACTAAGATTACTCTGTACTTCTACCACTGAGCCAGAGGCCACCTAAATACTTCAAGTCATTCAGAGTCAGAATCAATTAAGGCTCTATTTATCAGTGTAGCCACTCTGCAATAGTTGGTCTGAAAGCCTAATAACTAAATCCTACCAACTCAATCATTTAAGCTACTGACTTGTCCAGTTGCATTCAACTTGTAAAAAAAAGAGAAAAAAAAAGAGAACACAGGATAGTATCAAAATACATTGGATCGGCAGAAGAAAGTTTTCTTTTAAACACACAGTTGCTGATCCTAATCAGATTTATAGCTTAATGCCTCAACTATGGGCCACAAGCTAATTCTACTGCAGAGGAGTATCCGGTGCTGCTTGTTTTCAGAAAGAACGTCATTTCTCTGCCACATATGTAGGTGGGAACAAGAAAACTCGCATCTCTGCAGAGAAATAACATCCTTCTGAAGACAAGCAGCACAGAATATTGTTGAGGCACTAAACAAAAAGAATGAATCTGATTATAATCAGCATATAGACTTTTTCGTGTGTTCTTTTCAGACAGTCCTAAGATATATATGGATTTTGATACTACCCTGTGATCTTTATTTATGCCATATCATGGTCTCTTTCCTTCAGACAGGGTCTTGTTTTTTCATTACAATTGCTGCATCATGCAGCTATGAGGACAAGAAAAATGAATTGATCATTCAAAGGAAAACCTGTGTGGTATCTGATGGTGGCTCGATACGCCAGACGTAGAAGAATAAGAACCTGCATGAGTCTGCATCCCGCTCTCCTTCTTGTTAGTAGTTTTTCCTTGGAAGCTTCCTGAGTCTGAACAATAGAAACATGAGAACAGGGATTCACAGCTAGAATTAAGTAAGTTACATTCTAAAGCCAAAAAGCCATGTATAATATACCACTAGAGCTGAAAGGGGTGGCTCCATTTCGTCCAGCATAACGATCAGAAACACCTCTAATCCCACGGTTGTAATTGTTACTATAGCCTCGTCGGCGGGAATCCGGTATATCCCTAATCTGAACAGAAAGTAAATATATAAACTCTCCGAAATTAAAACAAAAATGAAATGTAAGCTAACTGAAACCAAAACGGTATCTAGGATCAAGTATTCAGGCCGGTGGCATCAATCACATGGTTTGAGCATAACTCTTGAAAACAAAGGTGCAAATTGGTTTTACTATGTATCAAATTTAAAATGCCAACACAGGACTGAAAGGCACACAAAAACATATGATCATACCTCTTTCTTCTTATCTTTTTTGCTCTTCACCTCGTGAAAAGGATCTGATTCAGTATCATGAAAGACATTAGCGAAAACAATCATCCGAAAAGGATAGAGCTACACAAGAGTTTAAAATTGAAGGCAAAATGGCTTATCAGCTCAACGAGAAGGACTAAACGCTGAAAAGACAAAACTTTATGAGAATCTAATGAAAACCCCCAAACCTAAACCTAATCAACACAAAATCTCAGTAACCCTTGAGCGTTCAAAGCAAACCCTAACTATCTGCGATGCCCAATTAACCCAATCACTACCTAGAAAAGAAGAAAGGAGAAACCTTGGGAGAGGAGGCGACTGACGGCTTCATTAGGATCCATGTTACAGTCCTTGAGCACGGCATAGATCTCTGCCTCAGGGCAGTTTACAATTTCTTTCAAACTTTGAACCATCTTCTTCGACCCTGACGGAATATCAGAAATCCCGTTCCTGATAGTGACACCAACACTCCTACCATCGCCGACGATGATCTTGCCGCTCATTTTCTCCGTCTAACTCTCTCTCTCCCTATCAGATCTGAGCAAAAAACGAAGCCTCTCCTCTGCCTTTACTGTTGCGAAAATAAGAAAAATGAAGACGATGACGAAGAAGAAGAAGAAGAGCTGGTTTTTAGCATAAACAGCAAAAGTTTCGTTTTAACTTTTTTACTCGTAAATCAAATCATTAAGACTTATCCAACTTTTCTTTTACTGTCTTAAGACTCATAATCATTTTGTGTTCGATTTCTATATTTGACAAAAGGATAATACACTTTTTCTAATAAGATCAACTTCATTAGATCAAATAGAGTAATAATATTATCACCTCTACGACATAATCAGCCTCAACCAGAGAATTGTAGTAGAGTACCTATGTTGGAATATAAGTATTGAAACATAGATCAACTAGAGTTGCATAGTACAACTTGGTGTTTAAGTGTAATATGTCTCTATCCAAACCCATTCATATGGAATCTTGTAAAATCATCTATGAGAGATCAGAAAAATGCTTTTGTCTTCCCCAGTCTCATCCGGAAATCACCTTATCGTAAAATCTTAGTTATGAACCGGCTCTGAATTTTGTGGAGCCAAAAATGTTTACGATTTTGATTATCTATATTTAAAATATTACGATTTGAAATTTGATAATCTATGCATATAAGCTCTTTAAAAAATATGTATCAAAATCAATGTTTCGTCCCGGTCCTATGTGTGCTGAGCCGGCCCTAAGTCTTGTGAGACAAAAAAACATTTACGATTTTGGTGGCCGATGATCTATATAAAAAAATTTACAATTCGATGATATATGCATATTTGCTCTTTAGAATCAATGTTTCGTCCGGCTCCCCTCAAAGCCGGCACCATCTCAGTTTACCATCCTCTTACTATCTCTAAGTATTGCCTATATCAAATTCTCAATATGAAAAGTTAAAAACAGCTAAAAGATAATGGATGTGAAGCTTTTCGTAAAAAGAAATAAAGAAACATGGGCCTGATCATCATCATCAATCAACCCGATAAAGGCCCATGTGACAACAAAAAACAACGCCGTTTCTGTTTTAATGTGAAACCCTAAACTTGGATAACGAACGTTATATAATGGTGAGGCTTCACATTAAACCTTAAATCACTTGCGTCCACCAACACCACCCTTTTCAGCAGATTAAGGTTTTTTCTTACGTAGTTCTGTCTCAATATCGTCATTGATCTGCTTTTTTTCTTTTGCTTTTTTGGTCTTTTTTGCTGTTTTGGGGGAAAGTGATGATATGTAATTGTCGCCCCAGTCTTATTTGCATTCATTACGATGTTTGTAATATGGTGATTGACTTCATTATCTGATTTTTTTACAGCTCCACCAAATCGTTCTCGTTTTTTTATATATAGTCTAGGTCGTTTACAGAAGGATTGCGAAATATTTTGATCTTTTTTTAACAAAGAAAGAGAAGAGGAATGAGGATAATTATCCAAAGTCTATAAATCTGAACCATAGTGTTGAATCAATGACATGCACTACCATCTGACCTCTTGTAGATTTTATTTTTTAGTTAATGAAGTTTGGTTGTTGTTTAGTACTGATGTTAACTTGGGCATGGACCCCCCATTTATTAAATGGATATGTACAAAAAAAATTAACTCATTTAAACCTATTTAGGGAAAAATGTTAAATGGGGTTAAATGGGTTACCCAATTAAACTCATTTATTAAATGGGGTTTCACACAAATAAATGGGTACTCATTTAAGCCCATTTATATTTTATTTTATATTAGTTATTTTTATTAAAAATGTTAATATCTTAATAACTAAAATAAAAGAACAAAATATTAAATATATTTAAAACTAATATTCTCCTTAAATTCAATTTTTGATTTAAATATTTAAAACAAAACGTAAAACCACGTTTTCTATAACATGGTTATGCGGTTTTGGCGGAAAAATGCGGATTTACGGTTTTGGCGGGAAAACGCGGATTTACGGTTTTGGCGGGAAAACGCGGATTTACGGTTTTTGCGGGAAAACGCGGATTTACGGTTTTGGCGGGAAAACGCGGATTTACGGTTTTGGCGGGAAAACGCGGATTTACGGTTTTGGCGGGAAAACGCGGATTTACGGTTTTGGCGGAAAAACGCGGATTTACGTTTTTGGCGGGAAAACGCGGATTTACGGTTTTGGCGGGAAAATGAGAGTTTACGGTTTTGGAGGGAAAACGCGGATTTACGGTTTTGGCGGGAAAACGCGGATTTACGGTTTTGGCGGGAAAACGCTATTTCATGAAAAAATAATTTTTGGTGATAAAACGCAATTTTGCGATTTTGGCGGAAAATAGCGTTTTTCCGCCAAAACCCTAAACCCGCATTTTCCCGCCATAATCGTAAACAATGTTTACGAATGCCTTTGGTATCTGATGTCCAAAGTTAAAAAAGTATAGTTGGACATTTCGTAATTCAGGGCATATATTGAAAGAAGAAAAAAAACAGGTTTTGCGACACTGGTAGCTTAATTATCATCCCACTGTACCCTTGTTTATATTTATCATCCCAATTTGTTTTATCTTATTCTATTAATTAAGTTGGTGCCCTTATCATTGTGTTGATTAGTTTAGTTGGAATCCTAATTCTAAGTAAAGAATTGATACTTTTGAATTTATCCAGTCTTAATGGTAGTTATGTGTAGGGAACACCTTGCTTAAACATCTCAATGTCAATATGAATATCTATCATTTAGCAATTTTCACATCCACAAAATATTGACAACCTTAAAAATCATCTATCCTGGTCAACATAATCGTGAACCTAGCTCCTCAAAATAATAATATAAGCAGATGAACAAAGACAGTAGTGTGAATCTAAACAGGAGTTGAAGGAACTTTGTTATGGCACATCTTAGTTATAGCTTATAAACAAGTTGCAGCCTCAAGAAGACCAAGACAAGCCACACAATGAAAGAGCTTGTTTGATAGGAAAATGCGAAAACTATAATACAAAGTTAATTATGAGCATTTACGTATATATAATGCTCTAAATAAGAGATTCAATAAAGCTACTTGATCAAATATTTAGCAGTTTAATTCTAGTTGTTTTTAAACTTTAACAAGTTTAGAAAAAGAAGCTATTTTTCCTAAATCAAATTTCTAAATGCTTAGAAAAAGATTTTACTTTAATCTTGGACTTAAATGTATTGACTCACCTTTTTTTGTCTTTTAGTTTTTGTTCACAACTTACTTAGAGTAATCAAAGAGAAAGATAGGATGATATCTCAAAAGATAATCTGAAGTTTTTCCAAAGAGACTTTAGAATGGATCGACCTAAATTTGATTTGTAAACGTAAGATAATCAGGGCCGGCCCAGACCTAAAGCCCATCAAGCAGGTGCTTTAGGCATCAGATTATATTTTAATTTTAAGGGGCATCATTTGTTAGAAAAAGTCTTGTAGTTCAGTGGTTATTGTCTCATTTATAAGCAGGAGGTGGCAAGTTCGAGTCATATTATACCGAAATTTTAACATTTTTTTGTATTTTTGTTGGTAAATGGGCAACAAAATTTTTTTGGGCTTTAGACATCCAAATCTTTTGGGCCGGCCCTGAAGATAATAATAGTTCTTCTGCCATCGATGGCAAGCGAACAAAACTTTGAGCTCGTACAACTTAAAAAAAAAAGCTCTCCATTAAAAAAAAAACAGAAGAATGGTGAAGTAATTCTAAGGTGGATATCAGAATAGCCAAGAGATGCTCAAAATATTTTCATAAAAAAAGGGTCTAATAGTAAAATTAGAAAATAGAGAAACCCAAAACACTAGTCAAATAGATCCGAGGGTCCTAATTGCAAAATTAGAAAACAGAGGATCTCTCGAAAAACCTTAAACCCTACTCAATTCGGCGCGACGGATACTTTTGTTCAGTTGAGCAGTTTGTAATTAAGATTTTCTCTGGTAGTGATGGAGATCGATTTGGGAGCTAACGCGTTCGGTATCGACTTCCATCCATCGACGAATCTAGTAGCTGCTGGTCTCATCGATGGCCACTTGCATCTGTAACTCCTTCAAAAGCCCTTCTCTTTGATTCTTCCTTCGTTTTCCAATTCACAAGAATCAGCAACAATCTATGTAATCTCCAACTTTTTCTTTTGCAGATACCGATACGACTCAGATTCTTCACTTGTCAGGTATTAAAACGCTCTTTTCATCTCCAAAGTTTGTCTCTTTTTGTTGTGGGTCAGACTCAGAGCATCGCTGAATTTGTGTAGGGAACGTAAAGTTCGAGCCCATAAGGAGTCTTGTAGAGCTGTTCGGTTCATTGATGATGGCCAAAGTTTGTTCCTTTAAAACTTTAAAAGTATTTGAGCTCATAGCTGAGCTCTGTTATAAATTATATGCTTTTTGGGTTTTAGGAATCGTCACAGCTTCAGCTGATTGCTCAATTCTAGCGACTGATGTAGAGACTGGTGCTAAGGTTGCACATCTTGAGAATGCTCACGAGTATGCAATTCCTTTTCTTTTCTTTTTTATATTGGATACATTTTAGCTGACTGGTAATTTGTTTATTGATTGGGAATATTTCGCATTGTTTCCTCTAGGGATGCTGTTAATACTTTGATTAATGTTACTGAGACAACTATCGCTTCAGGAGATGATAAAGGCTGCGTTAAGGTCTGTTAAATTCTCTCTTTCGTCTCTAATCATTTGGAATATTATAATCCAACTTACTCTCATGATATCTCTATAATTTTTGTGAGTGAAGAAATCAGATCTGGAAAGGTTTCTTGGCTAATTTTCTTTTGGAGTGAAATTATGTGCTTTGTTTTCTGATACTGTATGTTTATCTCCTCAGGTTTGGGATACAAGACAGCGCTCTTGCTCTCATGAGTTTAATGCACACGAGGATTACATTTCTGGCATGACCTTTGCGTCTGATTCAATGAAGCTAGTGGCAACAAGGTTTGGATTTTTGTAGTCATCTGATTCAGTGAAGCTAGTGTCTTTTGAGTTTTTACAGAAGACTTTTCCGCTTATTTCTTATTTTGGTTTCTTTGACTCTGTTTAGTGGAGACGGTACCCTGTCTGTCTGTAATCTCAGAACAAGTAAGGTCCAATCTCAGTCTGAATTTTCTGAAGACGAACTACTTTCTGTTGTTATAATGAAGGTAATTCCATTATATTTCTGTGTGTTTGTTCACTAATTTATCTATCAAACAGAAAAGTATTTGTAGCCAGGATGTGTCATCCCAAGCTCTTCTCTCTCCACATTGTTTCTACTTATCTAATGTATTTATTATCGTTTGCTTTTATTTGATTGATTTCAGAATGGCCGTAAAGTTATTTGTGGAACTCAGAATGGTACTCTCTTGTTGTATTCATGGGGATTTTTCAAGGATTGCAGGTAAGTCATACATCTCTAACACTACCTTTGTTAGAGGTTTAAGGTATTAAAATGTTTTTTCCTATTTACAGCGATCGGTTTGTTGATCTAGCTCCAAATTCAGTTGATACTCTATTGAAGGTGAGATGATACACTTATTTTAAGCATATGGTTACTGACACTGTAACATTAGGGTGCCAGTGACTAATGGAAGCCTTGTGGATTTATCCTGTAGCTCGATGAGGACAGACTTATCACTGGGTGTGATAATGGAATACTTAGGTAACAAAAAAACTCCGCTTCCATGGAAGAAAGCTCTTAACTGGTTTATCTTCACTTATTTCAATCAAATTTTATTTACATGTTTCTCCAGCCTTGTTGGAATACTGCCCAACAGAATCATACAGCCAATTGGGGCACACGACTACCCTATCGAAGATCTCGGTATTTAGAATTTCCTTCTCTATATCTAAGAACCTTTTATCTTTGTTGACTATTGTACTTTGTTCTGAACGAATTTCTAATTTTTTTTTTCTGTTAAAAATCTCTCTTATAGCTCTCTCGCATGATAACAAATTTCTCGGTAGCACAGCTCATGACAGTATGCTGAAGGTATCATATATTCTCTCTAAACTCAAGCTCTTACTGTTATGATTTACATGTTTGTTTTCTTGTGATGAAGCTGTGGAACCTAGAAGAGATTCTAGAAGGTTCTAATGGCAACTCGGGGAATGCATCTGGAGCTGCAGGAGACAGTGACAGTGACAAGGATGGGATGGACCTTGACAATGATTCTCACAAGTCTTCCAAAGGTAAAGAGAGACCTGCAAAACTTTTTGGAACATCTTAAACATTTCCTTGAGATGATACCTACAACATGATCTGATCTGGAGTTTTTTATTGGCTTTACAGGCAGCAAGAGGAAAACAAAAAGTAAACCGAATACGCTCAACTCTACAAATAATTTCTTTGCAGACTTATAGATTTTGT